TCCTTCTGATGCATTATTGTCTCTAAATGTATGAATATATATGGAAATGTAAGAAGAAGAAACAACATTTCTACCGGTATACTCAGATAGGTTGAGAACAAGTCCCGAAATGTGTTGAGAGGATAAAACATTCTGTACTAGACCAGCTTAAGCTGAAGGAATGTATATTTCATATATCCTTTCATTTATGACCTTTAAAACAATTGATATGCAATTTCCGCCCTCTGCATATATTTAAAAACATGGAGAAAAAAAAGAAGGAAATTGACATTTTTTTCAATAATTAATTCATCTTACACCATTAAAATCAAAGATTTTTCTTTTGATTATTAATAACTGGCAGTTTTCACTATTAGACAAAGTGGAAATATTGAACAAGTGTCATCAGAATCCTGTCATATTTGACTAGGTTTTGTGCAGAAACCATCAAGCAATCATATATTTTATTGTATACTAATAAATTATGTGCAGGTTTTGTTCTGACTTCACCTTAAAGCTTAACCCCTGTCATTGAGTAATATAAATATTGACCAAGTTCATTAGAATCCAGTTATATTTGTTAAAAAGTTATTGCGCAAAAACCATCAGCAAATCAAATCACAGTTTGCTCATTAATTATGCACAGATATTACTCAAGATCGAACTTAGCTTCAGTGTTCTTATATTGAATATGCAAACCAAGACTAATTTTCATCAAAAACGACATTTTAGAAAGTGATTCTGCTGAAACCAAAGTGTCAAATCGCCTTGCAACATTTCTGACAGGCGTACAAAAACTTCGGGTCGGTCAGAATGCAACTTACACTTATGTTTTAAATTTGAAAAAATACATGTAACAATGTGTTTCTAATATTCCCTTGTATCTTGTATACAAATTAGTGTCCCCTTGTAAATGTGATCACAAATTAGTGTCCCCTTGTAAATGTGTTCACAAATCAATGTCTCCTTGTAAATGTGTGTACAAATCAGTGTCTCCTTGTAAATGTGTGTACAAATCAGTGTCTCCTTGTAAATATATGTACAAATCAGTGTCTCCTTGTAAATGTGTGTACAAATCAGTGTCTCCTTGTAAATATATGTACAAATCAGTGTCTCCTTGTAAATGTGTGTACAAATCAGTGTCTCCTTGTAAATATATGTACAAATCAGTGTCTCCTTGTAAATGTGTGTACAAATCAGTGTCTCCTTGTAAATATATGTACAAATCAGTGTCTCCTTGTAAATGAGTGTACAAATAAGTACCTCCTTGTAAATGTGTGTACAAATCAGTGTCTCCTTGTAAATGTGTGTACAAATCAGTGTCACCATGTAAATGTGTGTACAAATCAGTACCACCTTGTAAATGTGTGTACAAATCAGTGTCTCCTTGTAAATATTTGTATGTACAAATTAGTGTTACGTTACCTTGTAAATGTGTGTACAAATCAGTGTCTCCTTGTATGTGTGTGTACAAATCAGTGTCTCCTTGTAAATGTGTGCACCAATCAGCGTCTCCTTGTAAATGTGTACAAATCAGTGTCACCATGTAAATGTGTGTACAAATCAGTACCTCCTTGTAAATGTGTGTACAAATCAGTACCTTCTTGTAAATGTGTGTACAAATCAGTACCTCTTTGTAAATGTGTGTACAAATCAGTGTTTCCTTGTAAATGTGTGTACAAATCACTGTTTCCTTGTAAATGTGTGTACAAATCAGTATCACCTTGTAAATGTGTGTACAAATCAGTGCCTCCTTGTTAATGTGTGTACAAATCAGTACCTCCTTGTAAATGTGTGTACAAATCAGTGCCTTCTTGTAAATGTGTGTACAAATCAGTACCTTCTTGTAAATGTGTGTACAAATCAGTGTTTCCTTGTAAATGTGTGTACAAATCAGTGTCTCCTTGTAAATGTGTGTACAAATCAGTGTCTCCTTGCTAATGTGTGTACAAATCAGTGTCTCCTTGTAATTGTAAATATGTATACAAATCAGCATGTCCTTGTAATTGTAAATATGTATACAAATCAGTGTCCTTGTAATTGTAAATGTGTATTCAAATCAGTGTGTCCTTGTAATTGTAAATATGTATACAAATCAGTTCGTCCTTAAACAATGTTCATGAACTGAAACCTGTCTGCAAGACAATAAATCAAGCTGATATAAAATATATTAAACATTGAGTTAACTCTATTCTTTCATAACCTACAACTCCATGAAACAACTTCTACATTCCATAACCTATTTGTGATTATACCAACAAACATCTACAGAATAATAAAACAACATTATTACACGAGTGGGAAAACAAATAAATATACAGGTGTCACAACAGCATCATTCACACCTGGTATTGTTATAGCAAGTCCTCTGATCTCAATGATGTAATTACTGAGGTGTGATGTCAACTATTAACTCACGGTTGCTGACCTAAACCTGTAACATACATTAGGTAACAGAGGTCATTTGAACCATTACAGGTGAGACAGGTCAAACCGATAGGAATACCCCTGGGTATTTAAGGAATTCTAACTTGGTTTGGCTTTTTTTCCTTCTGGAAAATTGCAATATGAAAATATTCACAAGATGGTGATTTGGAGCCCTGTTTTTTTACAATCAGAATAAGATATAATTTCGCACCTATAACATCAACACTGTAGGTAATAACATCTGTTTTTTAATTAGATTTTGCTCTTTATTATCAGTAAGTGAATTTGTAAACTGACTGTTTTTTCATGGGCATCTACCTAGCTATTGCCAATAATAAAGTAATCATACATATGGGTCAATCTGAGTGGTTCTGTTAATAATGTGTGCACTACTTGCATTATTGTGAAATAAGTCAACTGCTTGCAGAATACCTTCACCATATATATGACACACAGCTTGGCTACTTCAGAGGTCACAGAAACTGATCAGTGGAGGCATCACCTCTAGTGTCAACCTTATAAAGACCTGTGCAGGGCATTGGTGGCAGTGATGACCAGTGCCAACCTTCACAGAACTTAAGCTATCATGTGTCCCACCTGTAGTTCCTCAATGTGATACACAGTGTGATACAGGTGGGACAAATGTGTCACCTAGACATTAAAAAGACCTTGACCTAATTAGTGTCTGTGTAAAGGGGGGTCATTAATCTACCTGTTAGGGGCTACAGGTGATAACTGTTACATAAGCAGGGACAAGTAGCTTAGTGTGGGAGGCGTTCAGTACACAACAGGTGTGCATGTCATATAGCTGTCAACTGTGTGTATTCTGACATCTTGTGTTTCTCCTGTAATATTAAATTTCTTACTTCAATGCTTATGAAGGTACAAGTACTGTACAAATGGCTGAATGGGATTCCCTTTCAGCCATCAGATATCATCACTCAGACATTTTTATTTTAAATCAAAGTGTGATGACCTATATTACTATATAGCTGATGTATGTGATATCAGGAAGTGAAATAATGTCACATGGCAGATGTCCATGCTAATCCACATCCAGACTGCTGATTCTACCTATAAGACTGCTTAACATCCGAGTTAAACCTACATTCTAACTACTCCCTAGCAGCCTCATTTGAAAGTGGTAATCTTGTTCCGTTGGCCCGGGGGGTAAAACAATCAACAAATTCTGATCTCTTCATTTAAACAGAGTCATATAAAGCCAGCATATACGTCTCTGATTTAAATAGACAAAGTATCAACATAAAGGACACAATCTCCATTTATATAGTGAATTATTAACAAAAATGACAGAATATGAACTGATTTTAAATGATTTCATATGCAGACTGATAAATTAAGTCAATCAGTGGCAGCTAATTTATTATTATCTAATTGCTGCAATCTAGATGGATGGTATTTTCAAATTATATAGCCTAGTGGCAAAGATAGGAAAAATTTGTGAATACATAAATAAATTAATAAATATATAACTAGCCTTTATAAGGACCATATACCTAGATATACTGTTCAATAATGTAGCTGAATTAACCTGTCATTAGACGGTATCTCTACGAACTTCAAGATTTTAATAAATAAAAGTCTTCATTCTTTACTTTGTCACAATTGACTATTTGATACAGTACTACACTAAAATAATAACTTCAGCACTGAAATGACGGTACATTTAAATTGAAAAGCTTGTTTGTTTGAGTGGTTTTAAAAGCTAGAAATGCAAACCATAGATATTCAGGGAAATGCAAACTTATCTCATCATTCATGGAAACTAATGTACTCTCTAATGACTTATATGATGTCAACAGGTTAGAAACATGTCAACTGAATTAGAAAGATTCAGTATACAGTAATAAACTTGACTATACAATAATGCATACCAGAGTGCATTCTAGTGAGCACTATTTTAAATGAATGTGGTATGAGTTATTTATGGAATGTCCAATATACTTCAGAATGTAATACCACATGGCTAAAGCATGTTATTAAACAAAAATTGCCAGACCAGTATTTACAGAAATGGCAGTGATGTACAGACTTCATCAAAAGCTACATCTTATAGGATTTTTTTTAAATAATTGTCATTTTTAAAACTACCAATCACAAATTTATTGTTGAAACCGGCAGATGGCATAATATAGATTATAATGAAAGAAAATGTCCACACTGTAACAGTCAGCAAGTTGGTGACGAATTCCATTACTTGCTTGAGTGTCCGTCAATTAAGTTCTATGAATTAATGAATAGTATTGAATACTACTAATATAAAAACGCTGAAGAAACTTTGTACTTATATCAGAACAATTAATAACAATATTTGACCTCCTCGATACAATGTGCATTTATTATGAAACAGTACTGTGTACTACCACCGACTACGAACACTACAACTATTATATATTATATTGTAAATATGTTTCTCTATACATTGTATTGTGAAAGAGGCTAAGATAACACAATATGGAATCATCACCTATCAAAATGGAAGGATGCAATAATTTCAATTGATCTTGCATGAATCTGATTACTCCTATGCAGTTGTGATGGGATACCTGTCAATAACATAAATCTGGTCTTACCTGTCATTCAGAATTGATTCCTTCATTTAGGCTAACTTGTTTGTCTTCTTACTGTGCTATATATTTTCATCATTCTGGTTATCTGTAATAAGCAAATAAATACACTGATACAATCCCAAAATTAAAAACTTTCTGCACAGATTTTTTTTTCTTTTTTTTTTCCACTATGAAAGTGTTTCACTAAAATCTTCAATGAATTTTTATTATAAACTAAAATGACAAGTGGTGACAATGGGCAATCAACTTCATTTAAAGGAAATTTAAATTGCAGGTCAGGCTTTTTGATTGCTAATTTGGGAAAGGGCCCCTGAGCAGAAATTGGGAAAATATCATCAGCATTTGGCACAAATTGTGAAAATATCATTGGTGTTCCCCCAATTTTGTGAAAATATCATAGGTTTGGAAAAAACATCCCTGCAATGCAACTATAAAAGTTGTTTTTTTTCCGCCCATTTCTTACTGTAAAATGTTTAGCAATAAATAAACACATCCATTCTCATTGTTTTTGTTGATCAAATTTCATTTTTTTTTTTAAGAATAATAACTTTCATTATTCATGTATTTCAAACTCTCTATCAAAGACTGTAATACTTTGAACGTTGACATATAACAATTTTTTAATCCAATTTGGAAAATTAAGCCTGAAATTGGGAAAATAGAAATAAAAATTGGGAAAATGGTCATTTTTCAATTGGGAGTTAATGTGTCCCTGTACCAGAGCCTAATTTAAAGAACTTGCAAAAACCCTGCAGGTATACACATTTTTCTGTCTTTCAATGCCATTTCTGTCAAAAGAAAAACAACTGTTAGCCAAGCAATTTTATAGATTTTGATGACATATCAAACAAGTTATGTGTAAGTAAGTTAGCTTACCAATATTACTTACCACTGATGCATTGCTTTTTAACACTGTAATAACAAACATGGCTTGTCTGTAAAAATGTCTGGCATACAGAAAAATACCTCCAGTAAAACACTTTAAATAAATAATAATTAAGCTAACACACAGACCCTTCACCTGCAGCGTCCAGACTTATCACCATGGCCTGACATCTCAATATGATATTGTAGAACTTGATTTAAGGCCAAACAAAAAAATTTTGCAGGCTTTTTTCAAAAAAGCACTGTTGAAGTCAAGATCAATCTCCTGTATAAACCATATAATATTATCTTTTAAAAAATAAAACTTGTAACCTACCTATACCGACCTAAAGTTTTCCAATATGTTAATCCAATTTGTCTGGCCTAATTCTGCATGATACTTGAAGGCATTGAGTTGGATTATAATTGATGATAGTTTGCAAGTTGTTGCTGTCAGATATTCCAATTAGGCCAAATAACATTTAATGTGTGTATCCATTCTTAACATTTTAAATTATATTGTGTCTTCTTATTGCACTTCAATGATTCTGCATGAATGGTTCTAGTAAATGGACTTAGTTAAATCCATTTTTTTTATTTTTGCTATAAAATATTTCAGGTGGGGTGGGGGTTCTAGATTGGTAGGATAATAGTAAAAAAAAAACACAGTAGGCCTATGGTGCTCTAGCTAGTACTGATCAACTTCAAGTCTACATATAATTAAAAATATATATTACTTTTATTACTAGCCAGGAAATGTACATACTTAAAAGGTGATACGTATACTGTCAACATGGATAATAAGAAATATTTTCACAACAGTGTTACTCTAAGATACACATATGTACTAGAATTTCTATTTAATGGACAATGTGATCTATATATTGCGTAGTCAACAACGCAAATAACCCATCGGCCATCTTTTTTCATATTTCCACGTGCCTGCTGAAGGAAGGTGTGACAATCAAACTCAGTCTTAACTTGGTTAAACAACATTTACATTTACATTTAACCAATGTGTACGCTGTCTTTTTATGACAATTTCAAAAATTACTAAATTTAATAGGTGAATTTCACTGTCCAGTAGACCGGAAATCATCATCTGTGATCAGCTGCAGGAAAAATGATATGTAGTTGCGTAATGTAAAGAAAAATACAGTATTATACACACCACCGTGTATTTTCAAATAAACAGTGTTCAATATATTCCTTGGATATTAATATTAAGGTGTATAGCAGCAGATTTTCTGCATTTAAAGTAGGAATTAAAACGCCGTACATTTTCGCGGGAACCCAAAAATGTAAAAATGTAAACATCACCGCGTGGTCTTCTTTCTTTGTCTCTCCCGGCGTGGTTTACCTTGGATAAGGTAGAAATGTCTCCAAATTGATATTGAAATCAATGTACATGTAATAATTGAATAACAGGAAATATACTTACAGCTTTAAGGTGACACGGAACTCTACTCTCGATATTTACTTTCAAAACGTGCATGTAGGTAAAAATGGGTCATTAGTCAGAGCGGAAACGACCATACCACGTGATAACGCTTTAGTCGTTACTATCTAGCTGTTCTGTTAACCACCCCAGCATAGACCAACCACCTTAAGGTGTCTTGCACCTTAACACGTGGAAGAAAACCCTTATTCATACAGAAAATTGTGTAATAAATTATTCAAAGTCAATTTAATGGAAACATATTGAGATTTAAACTGTGTTCACATATGTGGAATTTCAACCAAACGCTGGAAACCAAAATTAATGATGGTAATTCTTAGAATGAATTGTGTAATATATATAGTTGGTTGATACACGGACTTAGATAATCTAATCTAATTCCAGGCGCGGATTAAGGGGGGGG